TAAAACTTTAAACTATTTTTTTTGTTATTTTTCAGACAAACGGTAATTAGGAAGCCAGAGCAAAATCTGTCTTTTTGATTAGTATTTCTATGAAGAACTGTGACAGAAATTAATTCAAAGTCCAGTTTTATCTTTTTTGCCAGATAGTTCTTATTATCAAGATGCATGTTCAGGTTAGATGTGAACTGTGAATGTCATTCCTTAGCAGAGTCAGATACCTTGTTTTTTGAGTTAGGGTCTCTCACTAGAACTTGGGGTTCACACAGGTGCCTCAGCTGGTTAGTCAGCTGAACCAGGTTTTTTCTTGGTGACACCTCCCTAGTGTTGGGATTGCAAGCATACATCACCATGCCCAGGATATTTTTTTCATGGATGTCGTGGATTTAACTAAGATCTTCTTGCCTATGCAGCCAACACATTACTGATTAGAACTCTCAAGTAGCTAAGTGGTTATTCTTGACGCCAAATAGCAAATAGTGTGTTTTCTTCTGGTTTCAGTAAAGTTGTAGTCAGACCCCATTCTGAAGTAGACCTGCTCTTAAGGCACTCGGCTGTATTCTGTCCTCTGAAGGATAGAATAAACAGGAAACTGAAGAGCACATAAAACTGTCTACATGTGCACATGCATAGACCTCTCTCTCTCTGCCTCCCCTCTTAACACACACATGGCAGGGGAAGGGGAGAGAGGGAGAAAGAGAGAACTCTTAATATTTGTAAGTACCTGGATGAACGTGAAAATAATTAAGCAAAGTAAAAGTCAAACAGAAGACATACTAAGGACATGGTCCCAGGGGCACAGAGAACCTGTGTGTGTGTGTGTGTGTGTGTGTGTGTGTGTGTGTGTGTAAACTTATAAGAGTGCACACTTTAAACATATGAATGCTTCTGGCAATTATCCTTCAATCATGCTATAAAAATCTCTTAAAGTTAAAGAAGTGAAAAAAGAAAAACATCTGATGCAAACAGTATTAAATTTGAATATAATCTTACTGAACACTCATAATAATCAAAGAGAAAATACAAATTGAGCACATTTTAAAATACAAAGAAAATACATTAATCAGAGAAATGTGGTGTGTATTTACTAGACTGCCATTCCTACACTAGTGGACAATTCTTATGTTTTGGAATATCTGAAATATGGGGAAATGGTTTGAAATGATAATGTTTAACTAAGAGTTTTGATGGACAGAAGACACACAGAGTCTATTAATCACATAGGTTCTGAGGATCCTTATATGAACTGTCTCTAAAGTCTTGGCACTTGGCTCATATAAAAGGGGTCGCTTTTCTTTCCCCATGGGGCAGCTTCTGGATCCTTTCTTCTCGCTCCCTGGCCATCACGTGACTAGAGTCTAGGAGGTAGCCAAGGCAACCCTTTTTGCTCTGTCCAAGTTGAATTGCTCCTGACTTTCTCTGCCGACATGTGACATATTTCTGATTATTTTTTTCTGCAATTTTCATTTTACTCCCCTATGTTATAGCCACATAGCAGCTTTTGCTTGCCTGGTACAACATTTATGAAAACAAATGACATGCCACCATGGGAGAGACTCAGTGCCTTCCATAGATGCTCACTGCCTTCAATTTGATGCCTTTTTTCTGCCTTAGCGAGGGGTTAGTGTTGTCCATTTCCTCTGCAATTTCTTATTCACCTCAAGATGAGACCACACCCATTAGGAAGTAGCTATGAAGTATCTGACTTTCAATATGTTCAATCTAGTGTTCATCAGATGTCTGCATCCATAGCTACAAGTTTGGAATGGTAGATACAAGCCTCTGAATCACAGAGGTCTGGCGGAGTTATTTTTATCCCATTATATTTAGGGCAGGGAGTCATTTGTAAATTTAAAAGATGTTCTAAGCAGGGAAGCCTCAGACACAGGATCATTTTTTAGCATAACTGAATTAGGAAATCTTTGTTGACATTTTTGACTGATTTGAAACCTAAAACCCTCTGAAACCCATTCATCCTTTGGTCCTAGAACTCCTGGGTAACCGGTTAACTTTTAAAGTTCTTTTTGACAGGTCCTCTTCTGAGTTTACATGTCCCCAAGGTGAGAATGAAACCACTTCCCACGCTTCTCTAAACTGAATAGTGAAAATGGCGAGTATACTCTTATTTGTGACCCCGGGCCTCACTGAAGTGTGATGACACTTCTCCTGGCCTCCTACTTACACCATCTGGTAAAGACAGTTTCAGCCACTCACTGAGCAAACCAAACCAAACCAAACCAGGAAAACAGCCAAGAATTGAACACAAGAATGAATGAAGCTTAAGTGGGCATAAAGTAAGTCAACAACAATAATTCCAGCTGCTACGTGTTTAACATGGCAATGTGGCATAGTTACCTCGCGGACCTGAAACACCTCGCTACACACCAACGTTTTCTTGTCTTATTCATCTATTGGAATCCTCTTTATTACCAAGGGGTCTGAATTCAACAGGAGGCTTTCTGTTACTGCTATGTCAAAGTAGCTCCTAAACAGTTTAATCTAGAAGCTCCCATGAAGCCATACCTATGGGCTACAAAGGCAAGTGGGGGGCATATCCTCCTGAGGTTCTGTGAGGTCTGGTGCTCTGGGAAGGGTGGAAATGAAGAAAGGCCAACTTAGCTGGGAAGTCTACATCTGTTTTGATACCTTCCATATAAAGCCAGGTTTCTATCATCTTATGTTTGTATTTATTTGTGTGTGTGGTGCATGTGTAAGTTTTTATAGGTGTGTACACATGAACATCTGGGGTCACATACATGTGTACACACATGGAAGCCAAGGGCTAATGTCAGGTGTTTTCCTGTTGACCCTTCTCCTTGGATTTTGAGGCTGGATTTCTTCTTGACCCTAGAGCTCATCAATTTGACCAATAAGCTCATCCAAGGATCTGCCCATTCCTACCTCCCCAGCGCTGGGGTTATAGACTTGTACTCCATATCCAGCTTTTACATAGGTGTGATAGATTGGATTCAGGTCCTAATACTTTCATGGTAGGTACTTTACCAGCTGAACCATCTCCTCAGACACTTGCTACTACTTAAGGTGAACTTATTGTTCTCCCCCTAACTCTGCTCTCTTCAGTTACCCTTTGGTAAAAATGCAAATAAGAGACTTCTAGAAATCCCTGTGAGTCTCTCAGGAAAGGCTCCAAGCCTACTGAGCCCAGCATATGTCTTTGCTGTCCCTTTTATGTCTTGTCATCATCATTTTCTGTCTTCTGTTGCTAACACACCTGCAGTGTACGGTGACTGAACACAGGGTCAGGACACATCCTTAAACCATCAGATGACTGACTGTCTTGATCTATTGTGTCAGAAAGAAATCTTTGAGAGTTGTATCTGTGCATGCCATTGTGTCAATAGGCCCAGACGCCTTCCTAGGCTACTCACTCTTACAGCTTGAGCATCATGGGCAGCACAAGCTTTGTTCAGCTGCAGGACACGTGACTGAAAACCAGGCATCTCTTTTTTCAAAGTGTGAATGCAGGCATATAAAGGGACAGCACTTATGTCAGCCTGAAGCCACCTGACTTAGCATGCTGATTTCTTTTTATGATCTACTTTAAAAATGTGTTAGTCACAAAGTTACTTTTCATGCCAGATCTTTTAATTTTTGCTTGAAAAAGCACATATATCTAATTTATGTGCCACAAAACATATTTATAATGGAAATATTGGCACATTTAAATATAATTTGGGTTTAATGTAAAAAATATTAACATCTCATTTTTTAACCATAGAAAGTTTTAAGGATAAATTAAAATAATCGACTGAAAATTGCAGCTGGTGTTTTAGAAGTATTATTCTTCATAAGATGTTTTCCACCGATACATCTAGATTTGATAGAGATGACTAACTAGAGGTTTCTCACTCTTGTCAAAATATTTCAAATGCAAATTCATCTGGTTGACAGAGGCTCAGAATTAATGTGTCAAACAAAATTATGTTATGCAAGGGGACAAGTTACAAACAGAATATTTTTATTTTTTTATATAGGCCAGAGCAGTCTAAAAGATTTAATGTGATTTATTTATTTATTTATGCTTCTTTGGGGGTGGTTGTTCTGGTTTTTGAGACTCTCTCTCACCACTCATCCCAGATTATTCCTAAAATCGTGGTCCTCCTGCCTTAGCCTCCTCTCGAATGCTGGGTTTAGATGTGTGTCACACACCTGAGCACTCTCGCATGGATCAACATCAAAATGTCCAAATACATACGTATACTTCAAGTCTGTGTGAAAGTCTCTCGTAAATATATGTTAGCTAAAAGTATATAAAATCAGATGCAGAAACAAAACTAAACAATTTGTTTATCTTTGGTTTAATCCTTTGTTAGGATGTCAAAGCAGTTGAACCTTAGTCTAGAATCATTCCAGCCACTTCTCTTGCCATTCATGGATGGCAGTGGATGTATCTGTCATTTATTATTCACTTAGGTGTTAGGGAAACTGTTTCATAGAGAATCATGAATGCTAATCAATGTTCATGGGTTATACATTGTCTAATCTAATTCAAATTCAGGGATGGTTCTTTTACTAAGACCCCAACATAGTCTCTAATTAAGGAAATTCCATCTCCACACATATTTATAATACAAATCATGATAAGCAGGGCTCAGATGCAGCTGTGACCTGATGAACAGTTTTGTATTCAAACGTCCCTTTTAGTAAAAGGCTGTATTATGGGATGCCATATGCATGGGCATGCTCTACTCTTTGTGTGTATGTGGTCAGAAGCTGATATTTCGTGAAGGCCTAAAGTCAACATTTCAGCTAGACTGACTCTTCATTGAGTGCCCAGGATCTGCCTGTCTCTACCCTCCAATTCCTCAGAGTACCACACCTGGCCTTGACATGTGTTCCTGGAGTCCAAACTCAGGTTTCCCTGCTTGAGCAGTTTGAAGCAAGCACTTTACCCACTGAGTCATCTTCCCAGCCCCCTTTCAGTAGAACAATGTTCCTACATTTGCAAGCTTGCACTAGAGCACCAACTTCCATCCGCGTACCTTCACAGCGCCATTTTCATGCATGGTGATGCAGTTATCAGCATCTTCTGAGAGCTGGTACAAGGCCTGAGCTGTAGCCCGATGCACGTTGGTGTCATTCGATTTTAGGTAACGCACCAATGGAGCCACGGCTTTGTGCTCCCCGAAGGCCACTCTGTTTCTTCCCCACATACAGCAGCGTGAGATAGCTTCTGCCAGGTGGCGCCTCAGCTTGTCGTTATTCTGCATAAGGGGAAGAAATGAGTGTGCACCGCAGAGATTCCAGGAAGCTGAGTCCATGCCTATCACCCACTGAGATGCCAGGGAGTCAGCAGAAACACTCAGTGGCTATTTAGGAAGTACCTTGAAGGAACTAGAATTTGGGTTTTCTTTCTTTAATTTTTTTTTTTTTTGGTAAAGGGTATTATAATGTAGTTCTTAATGACCTTGAACTCGGTAGGTAACCCTATCTGGTCTCCAACTCAGAGATCTACCTGCCTCTGTCTCCTGAATCTTGGAGTTATAGGGCCCAGCCTTCCTGAGTTTTCTGTGAGCTGCGTGTAAACAACACTATCAAAGATGAGACAGATGTCTAGTGTTGATCATTTGTTCCAGGAAGCTTGATTGCCCATAAGAAAACCTTACAAATCAGGACCAGTGAGAGACCAGTAGATAAATGGCTTGCCCCTGAGACTGACGATCTGAGTTCCATCCTGGCTCCTCATGGTGAAAGGTGTCATATAACCTCCATGTGTACATCATGGCACATACACACATGCATACACAACACAGACATGTGCATACACAAGTAATAAAACTATTTCTAGAATATTGGATACTCTTCAAGAACAAATTAATTTGATTGGAATGAGTGGATTAACTCTACACCTTCAACCTATATTTATTTCCCATTGCACTTTTTTGCATGTGCATGGCATTTATGCATGTTTGCATCTGTATAGGTATACATGTGTGTGCAGGCTGTGTACCTGGGGGCCAGAGGTGGACTTTGGATGTTGTCTTTGATCACTTTTGACTCTATAAATTGAGGTGGGCTCTTCACTTGAAGCCAGGTCTTACTTATTTTTGTTAGCCAGTTTACCATGTGCATGCCTCATCTCTGTTTCCTTTGCTCTGGGATTACAGACTGGCCAGTACATTCACTTGACATGTCTGTGGGTGCTGGAAATCTGAGCTCTAGTTCTCATACTTGAGTGGCAAGTGCTTTTTACCTGTAGAGACACCCCCAAAATATCACCTTAATTTCTGAACGGGAGAGGACAGGGCAGCCCATACAGTGGCATCCACTTGATTTTCTACTGTCCTTTATGCATTTTCTTTATGTAAGCTTGGCTTTTACTTAGAATTGCTTCATAGAGGAACAGCATAACTGAGTATATTGTGGTTTTTCCATTGTCCTGTTCTCTTGACACAGAAGACTTGACATCCTCTGCATCTGACAGGTCCTCTTAGAAGCGCTGGGTGTCATACACTGTTCTGCCAGTGACTGTATTTCTGTTTTGTCCTGCTGCTGCTAACTGGTACTCTAGCTCTGCTCAAACAGATACCTGTGGGCATGGTGGAGTCAGTTTTGAATAAATAGTATAGTACTGTTAAAGCCTTATAGCTCCAGAGGTCACAGTCCAGGCCTCTAAACTGGAGAGGAACAACTACATGCTCAGAATATTACAGCAGCAGGGAAGACGACAGCTAGCATTTACATAGCAGTACTTATATTTGCCACAACTTTGCTTGCCAACAACAAATAATAAAAATGGCTTTTATTTATCATACTTTGCATATTAATATTTTGTTTGTAATGTATGCCTTTGTGTCCATAAGTTTGGGGAAGCTCAATGAGTTGAACACAATCCTACACTTCATAAGCAATGGACACTAAACCTGGATTCAGGTCTCTGGACTTCACTTTCTTTCTTTTGCACTGTGATTTGAGAGCACTCCGTGAAAACAAGATGTTACTTACTGTGTTGGCAAGTTTGGACAACAGAGGGACAACTCCATGGTCTGTAATGACAGCCAAGTTTTCCTGGTCTTTTGCTATGTTGGTGATAGCAGCACAGACACTTGCCAGGACCTCCTTATTATCTGACTTCAATAGATTGACCACAAGTTCCAAACCACCAACAAAGGAACGGACCATTTCTCCAGCGTCCTGGGAAAGAGAAACACCTTCCTTTAGGCTAGTTTATAAAACATAGAAATTAATAATAAGGCTGTTATGTATATTTTAAGATAAAAGAAAAATTTAGTAGATTTCTGTATTTTCAAACTCTATACATATACGTGTATGTTTACATATATTGTAGAGATATGATTTACATATTGTAGAGAAACTGATTTCCAGATGCCGAACCTTATAAGACAGATTATATCCTGTGTAAAGGCAAGATGTCATGTGTGTTTTAGCAAGCATTAATTTGATTTTCACATCCCCACACCTCCTAAATTCTTCCTTGGTGCGCCTGATGTAGGATAAAATCAAAACTCCAAAGCATGGTTCCTGTAGGCTCGGTCTTCATCTCTAGTCTCAACTTGACCATCTCTAATATCTGCTGAGAACTGGGGTTAAGTGACTCCTAAAATACTTCACTCAAAGCATAGACCACTATAGGGAGTGAATGGCGTCTTTATCCTTTACCTTGAACTTTAAATTTTAGGTGGGCAGTGATCTATTATTCACTAGACACACTAGTGTCTCACAGTTAACACTTGCTCACAATCACGGACTTTCCAATTGCAAGCCTGTAGGGGGCACAGGTGTCTTTGTCACAGATGTCACAGACACTCACTAAGCGAACCTGGCATGCTAAACACCCAGGGTTGTTCCTTCAAAGGAAGGAATAGAAAACCCATGTTCTGCCCAGAAGGCTAGGGAGGATGTGCTTTTTGGCCTGGTGACCTTTGCACAATTGTGTAGCAGGAGATTTCCCAGCACCAAATTCTCCCTCACACCTTTATCATTTTTTCTCAGTCAGTTTGTCTTTACAGACTTTTCAGAGTGTCAGTGTAGTCATGCCTGGTGTGTATTAACATACTGTGGTCTCCAGAGAGATGTATGTATGCTTTGTGGTGGTCATGGAATTGACTTGATTATCACCAGAATAATCTGCACCAAATTTTGCTATGATTAAATAATGTAAATCTGTAGGCATCTCTTTATTGTACCTGTGAATTAAATGATACATAGCTTGATTGCCATGAATTTTGAATTAATTATATAAGTCGTTTAACACTGTTGTTTTCACAAAATTCCCTTCTGTCCCACGTGCTCGCGAGTTTCCCCATATCCCAGCCACCCTCCATCCCTTCAACAACTTCAAGTTTCTATTTTATCTGTCTTTCTTGTTCTTGGTTAGTTTTTTCCTTTTTTAAAAAAATGTTTACTATTGAGTTTAAATTAAACAAATAGAAGCAAAAACAGATAGTATAAATCTCCAATTGGTTGGTTGTGTACATGAAAAAAAACAAAAGTCCTACTTCCAAATAGATATTGATATCTCCGCTTAAGTTTTATTTGCATAAACCTTGTTCAATTTTTATAATTAATAAATATTGATATATAATGACTAAAAGTATACTTAAAATAAACTATTTGGGACAGACTTTGAAAGTTTGAACCAACACTGTCTGCTGAGTTGCGTTGAGCTGAACTGCCTTCTTGCCTCCTAGACTTATCACTCTGCAGGCCGTGAAGGCCTCAGAGACCCCCCCACATAAGCCCACATGCATAATAAGCCAAACTAATCTTCTAGTGGAAGGTGAAGCCAGGACAATAACCCAGATCTACCCAAACACAAGAGCCAAGCAAGACTCAGTAGGCAATGCAACCTTTTCCCATTGCCGTGGAAACAGACAGGATCAATATGGGAGCCATTTAAATTTTGAGCATTAGAATACTATCCAGCTGGAAAATTACATCAAAAACTTCAATAGCTACCAAATATGCAAACCATCCTCTCCCACTCTTTTCTCAAAATAAATAAATAAATAAACTAGCAAATATCACTTCTCTTAAAAATGAGCAACATAAGGTTGGAGAGATGGCTCAATGAATAAAGCACTATGATTAAAGTATAGGAGGCCAGGTCCCCAGAACCACATAAAAGGCAGGAAGCCTCAGCCTATAACCACAGAGGATCCCAGGGCAAGTTGACTATTAGACCAGTAGACAGTAGAATTACTGAATGTAGGTTCAGGGTTAGGTTCTTCTTCCATAAATATGTTGTAGGACAATTGAGAAAAACACATGACTTCAACTTCAGGCTGCCCACACACATGCATACATATACCAGTGTACTCATGTATGTACATATGCACATGTCACACACACATATAAATGCAAAAAATGATCAATATGACAAAACTGAAATCATTTTCAATTGGAGTTGATAATAACAAAGCCAGATGGAATGAAGAAAATGTTATGTGTTTACAGATGATAAGAATACACAGAAGAAGCAAGATTTACAAAACAAACTAGATGAACAATGTAACACTGTTATTTTACTTACTGTTGATGTTATTAGTCTTTTGACAACATTGGGGATAGAAACCAGAACCTTGTGCATGCTAGATATGCACTGAATCCCTGAACTACACCCTAGATCCTAGCCATATTACTAAAGGAACTGAATGAAAACCATAAACAAAAAAGAAATTTGATTCACAACAATTCTTATATTTTGTGATTTTCAAACAAAACAAGTTTTAAATAGAAATGAAAGATCTAAAATTAGGAATAAGATGGGCAGTGGCGGCACACACCTTTAATACCAGGACTTGGGAGGCAAAGGCAGGCAGATCTCTGTGAGTTTGGGGTCAGCCGGGTCGATAAGAGCTAGTTCCAGGACAGGCTCCAAAGCTACAGAGAAACCCTGTCTTAAATGAATAAATAAATCAATAAAATCAGGAAGGAAAGAAAGATCCATTTTGGAAATCAGACTAACTTAGTAGGAAAACATAAAAGAATAAAGACTTTATTCTTTAAATAGAAGATACAAATAAAATTACCACAAAACTGCAGAAGAATGAACAGAGAAAACAGCACATAAATGAGAGCCCCAAAAGGAGCAAAACAGTAGAAAAGGAATTTGAAGTGTAATTTTAGAGAATTCTCTCCAAGAAAGTAAAACCCAAGAGCATACAGAAATAAAATCCTTGAGAAAACTTATTCAGAATGAAGCTGCTCATAAAGACACAACTTCCTCTCACTGCTAGTTAAAAAAATACAAATCCTAGGTCAGTAGTAGAAGACTTGCCTGGTTGTATGTAAAGCTCTGCTTTCAATCCACAGCAATATCACACACAGAGGCACAGACATAATGCAAAGACACATACACACACTCAGACACAATTCTTTGGTCATCCAACATTAGACCGTTGATGAAGGAAAGTAATAACACAGCTGAGACAATCAAATGGGTTCTAATAATCAGTCAAACCACTTTCCAAAGCATAAAATGCCATAAATGTGAAGCTTCCCAGAGGACTTCTGAGGGATCTACTGTGAGAACACATGCCAAATGTAAAGAAAGACTAGATAGACATCAACAAATGTAAAGAAAGACTAGATAGACATCAACAAATGTAAAGGAAGACTAGATAGACATCAACAAATGGACTGGGTTAGTTTTCTGCTGTGTTTCATGTGCTGGTATGCGTACACGCTAACACATGAGGGCGATGTAGTAACACATGGATACAGCACAGACCCATCAAGTCTAGCCTTTCTTTATTCACACACTCATAACTCTTCCAAACCAATCTGACTTGATTTTTGTATGTTCAGGTTGACATTTTCTAGCATCTGTATCTAAGACAATATTTGGTATTTCTGATCCTGGCTTATTTCTTGATATAATATCTTGACATAATATCCTCCAGTTCCATTAATTTTTGTGCAAATGACAAGGCTTCATTCCTCTCTATGACTAAATAATAATCCATTGTGTGTTGGCGTCACCCATTTATCTGTTGATGGACACTCAAATCAGTTCTTCCAATATGAATGTCACTGTGATAAATGGGCATGTGCAGGCTTGTGTTAGGTATCCTGACCATCTTTCCTCTGGATATAAATGTAAGTCCAGAGTGGATTGCATAGGGTACTGATGTGAGGCACCTTTATGCAGGATTATGTCTCCTTCCCGACACAGCACACACCCACACCCACACATCACCCAAAAACCATTTCCCTAGCCACCCATGCAGCAGTGGGAGAGGAAACTCTCTCTAATCCAGGGTAACCCTAGCCTGGCCAAAGTTTATCATGTATCTCCAGGACCCCCCCCCCCATTATTTGTTTAAGAGTCCAAGTATCACTATTGAGTAGTGAGATGATGTCAGTTGAGTCTCTTGAAAAGTTTTATTTTTACTACTTTTTATAGTATTATCAAAATTGACCACACCAAGAAAGGCAGAATAAGATGAGGGAGGTAGCCTGGTCTTTATGGCTCTGTGAAGAGGCTGAGTCAACAGATGATTTGATATTTGCAGCAAAAGTGTCTGCAGCCTTTTGTTCATTGTGCTGCAGTGATATTTCTCATGGCTCTTTTTCTAAGACCAGAGATGCCTGGCTAGGTAGAGCAACATATGTCTAATCCTAGCACTTGGGAGACAAAGGAAAAGGAGCCTGGGTTTGAGGCCAGCCTTAGTGATATAGTGAGACCCTGCCTTGGGAACAGTAAAACATCATCAAGCAAAGAGAAAAAGAAACTGAGGACATTGGTCATCTTTGCAGAATCCCCTGGGGATTATGGTTTCGTTCATTACTCAGCTGACCTTCAGTAATATTGATGGATTTTTTTTTAAGATTGAGAGAAGTATGATTTCAAAATATTCAGCATAGGACTGGAGATGAGGGTCAGTGGTCGAGTGTTTGTCTATCGTATGCAAGGTCCTAAGTTCAATTTTGAGTTCTGCCAAAAATAATAATAATTAAACAGAGCTAGCTAGCTAGATGATTGATAGATACATAAATACTCATAGCCACAAACACCAAAAAGAAAAGAATGTTGGACTTTAAATTGGTAAGTTGAGGTCAATGAGTCAAATTGGGGTTCAGTCTTAGTTCTCTGAAGCAAGCCTCAAGGATCTATCTATCAGCTTCCCAATTCTGCATCAGTTGGGGCATTGAGGCTTTAATGGGGAGAA